AGCAAAATTGCTCAAAAAGTTGCCCCGTGTATCATAAGCCTAAGGGGTCAACCTTTCAAATAAATTATTTTAGCTTTTTTTGGTGCAATAATCATCATGCTCAAATTAAACAAATTTTCATTATTATTTTGATATACCGTATTTGTGCATATATATTTTAGTCGGGTAAATTTGTGATGTTTGTCCAAGTAATGACAGCAGCCTGCTTATGTTTTGTCGATAGGCTAGCCTTCACACAATTAGCGATTAGCGTTTGTTGTTATGGTAACCAAACGCAAAGACGAATTCTGGGGCCCGTTCGTACGTCGCTTATTACATCCGAGATGAAATGTCACATCCAAGATGACATCATCGCGCTAATCAGGATCTGGCTAATTCGGTTCTTCAAACACACCTGTTGTTGATGATTAGTATGGCTGGATTGAGTTATCTGAGATAATTGCGAGTTCATGGGTTGGTTTATGTATCGATACTCGAAACCACGATCAGCAATGCAGCGATTGGCTGGCGGCAAGACAGCAACGTAATGACATAATTTCATTAAAAAAGACACCTGGAGAAAAACTTGACAAATTTCTGGACTTTTATAAGGAAAACAAAACTACATACATGTTATAATAGATAAATGAAATGTGCACTGTTTTTATTTGACTTTAATTTTTTTTCATGATTCCCAATTATTTATATTCACGATTTCTAATATTTGTACAGGCTTTACATTTTTATTTCAAGGTAGTAATTAGAAATTCATTTAATTTTATATTTGAACAGATTTGTTACGTGACAGCATTAATTAAAGTTTCTTAAGGGTCAAGATCATGTTATCTGCATCTCCTGCGCTCCATCAAGCCACTCCCATAATAGCTGTCACCACTCAAATTAATGCACGACTCTACATTATCTGTATAGCGTGTGTAAGACTCGAATACAATTATGAAGTAATAATTTTATGACGAATAAATCTTTCAGTGAGTAAAACTGGCTGTGTCTATATTAAATTATTGTCCCTGGATTAGTAGGGTACTCTTGTAATAAAGTAGCGGCGGTAGAGGACAGATTTTAAGTATCAATTCTGCTTAAAAAGATGCAATCTAATCCTGTTTACATGAAATAAGCCTGCTCCCGAGCAGGTTTAAGTTTACGGACCTGTTGCTATGACAGCAACTCCGGGATGAGCTTCGAAGAACCAAGTGATCCAAGATCATGCCAAATCGTCAACAATCAAATCCAGCTAACTCAGTTAGCGATGTACGAAAAACGGGCCCCTGTTCGGGAAGCGCACATTTAGCACACTCTGGCAAACTTTTAATAGGCCTATAATTTTGGCTTACTGAAATGTTGCCGAAACATATAAACTTAAAACATCCAACTTCTCAATTATCATAAATAATTAACCCGGTGATTCGCTGACTGCTTCGCCATTCAAAAGCACACAGCCTTTTCATTCGCTCATGTGTAGTGCAGCTGTTGCGCCTTTTCTCGTTTGTATTGTGTGCTGTGCTGTACAGCCTTCACTTTTCAGTCCACCTGGGTTGACACAGCGTGCCAGCCCTCATACACAACTAGCCTATTACCGGGACGCCTTTATCAATGTCCAGTAATTAAATTGTCACCGTTTAATTTTCTAGCCACACCGATCCTTTTGGAGCAATCCGCTGTTAATAAAGGATCTAATCGAAATGCTATTTCGAAGTGAAACAAAAAAGGCGTTGAAACGCGGCCCAAGTGTGGCGAGCGGGGATCGATAAAGGAGAAGAGGATTGATTTGTCCCTAAAATTAAATTTATTGGGGTCATGGTTTTATGCTGATACCTTGTAGAAATAGCGTTTACTATCAAGCTCCATTCTGAGGCGAATTTGGAAGACGTTATTTAATGTTCATATTTATAGGTTTTGAAGAAAACCTATTTAACCTTTTAAAGAAAGTTACATTTTGCCTGTTCTTTCTTCAAAGACCATTAAACTTGACGAGCTGTCAGGAATGAATAGGGGTCGCTGGAACCTCCCTGACGCTTTACAACACAACACGGTTTCTACAGGCTTATAGTTCTAATCTGTCGATATATGCCAGCACGTGCAGTCCAATAGTAATTAAGCTTGAAATATGCGTTTGGTCAGTCTTGTTACTTTTTTCAACAGGCCTAGGCTACTCCTTTTGAAAAGAAAAATCATAGGCTACATTTGAAATGATTAATTTCTTAAAACACAATTAGTGCATATTTAGCCTAAAGGTAATTTCAAACAAATTCTTATAACTTAATGAATTCATTCGTAATTGATCATCTTTATGCCTAACGTCTTGCAGAAATGTCCGTCGCCATTAGTATTAAGTTCAGGCGAGCTATTGCAGTAGGCAGTATTTATATGTTCATGATGAGATCACCAAAGCAACGCAATGAGTTTTTTTTTTTAAAGAATTGTATTTAATCGGTGTGTTTTGATTTCAGTTAAAAAATAAATAAATATATAAACTGGAGTCAAAAATAACAATAAATAAATAGGCTAAATAAATCAATTAAAAAAATAAACAGTAGCTAGCCTATATTTATTCAAACACTAAACTGAATATGTGAGAACGTTTATAAATAGGCCTAGGCTACTTTTTTTAGTCATTTAGATTGAAATGTTTTAACAGGAACTCAAATTTGCGTGTTTAATGCTTCATTTTAATATATAGGCATATACATCACGAAAAGGGATGCATGTATGTATGTCTCTGTCTGTACTGTTGTAACTGACTGCAGCTTTTATATAGAAATGTTGAAGAGAAAAACTAATCTCCCGTTCATTAACCGATTAAAATCCGGTTGATTACATTTAATAAACTAAGAACTTTTCAGTTATTTCCATTTGAAATAGCTAATAATAATAATAATAATAATAAGTTTAACAGCCAATGTATACTGTCATATTGTTAAGTGTTCTTTGTTCTAGAATGGGGTCTCTAATTTCGATCAACAAAAGGGCTAAATTAAATATCGTGTGAGGTGTCGGATTCCCGTAGCCTACCTGAATCTAACCATGATGGGTAAAAAAAAAAAAAAAGGATAACAATATGGTATTCAGCTCGGTCCCTGAATAATTTAAAAGAAGTGAATAATTACAGTCCAAAATGGTAATTATTGTTGGCGAGAAAGAAAGTCTCTTGCCTGTGAAAGTCAATAGCACTGGGCTGGGTCGCATTACTCCAAACTCCCTCCCAGGTCCCCCCTCCGCTATCAATATTGCAGAAAGCGCTCGTTTTCACATCACAAGCATTCTGGAGACTATCATGAACAGTTAAACATAGCGAAGATAAAAGCAAGAAAATGTCGATAGAGTTCACTCTACACTTTAATCATGGAATAAATTCTGGGATCACTTCAAAAACATTTATAGGATATGAATGAATGAATGAATGGATGAATGAATGAATGATGCATTTATATAGCGCTTTATTGTGTATTGTTGTACACCCAAAGCGCTTTACAATCACGTGGGGGGGTCTCTCCTCAACCAACACCGAATTCAATTTTGTAGCCATAATATATGGGTTTATTAGGCTATTTTATTGTAATCCTTTTTTTATTATTAATATTATTATTAATTATTGTTCCTACATCCCATATTCCATTTAAGATAGAATCCACTTGATTTTGCGTTGTATATTAAATAGCCTATTTAATGCAGACACGGCTTTTAAGCTGAATTTAAAGCGTAACGTTGTAAATTACGCTTAGTCTTCATAAGAATAATTGCTCCTAAAAGTTAAACTAACCCGTGGGAACTAAAACATATGCGGGCAGCAGCACACCCCTAACCCACACCGATCCAAATAGCCCCCGGAGACAATCTTTGCTTAGCCTATAAATCCCCCGGCACCATGCAGTTTCAATAACACTAGTTTATTTTTAAACAGATACTGAATATAGATGAAAAGGCTCGAGGCCATTCACTTTTTCCGTTTTTACTTATGCACTCTTTTAATTTATGCAGTTTCTTATGATTTCCATAAAATGTTCCCTTTCAAAACAAAATAAATAAGTTGTGCACAAAATAAATAATCTGTTTTAGTTAGAACTTTTCTTTTCTTTGGTACGTGCATGATGTCTGAGTGAATTTATATCGTTTATTAATTTAGGTTTTGACAGTGGTCCAGTCAGACATTGACATTCGTGCACGAGCTCGTAGTAGTGTGACGGTGGTCATTGACTGGTTTGTAAATATACTTAACATCATAATCGGTTCCCTAAACGACTTGGCCTAGATCATTTCTTCCTTTCGTTTTGTAAACATTAGGTTTGGTCCAAGAGACTTAATCAGATGACTCCTCCTTTCTCCTCCTTTTTTATTTTGCATCATTTTCTTTCAATTTTTTTATTTTTATTTTTAAGTTTTTGCTATTTGTATCTATTAGGTTTTGGTGCGATCTAAAAAGCCTGCAACAAAACATATTCACCGTTATGCTAGAGAAAACATTTTAATGTATTAAAAACATACAATAACACATACCCGTTTTCCTCAGAACGCACCAGCCTAATTCCCATGCACGATCAAACTCGCAAAGTGGTATTTCACATTAAACAAATCTTTTCGTATAGCCTACTACATTTAGTTTAGGCTACTACTACTAGGTTGGCAAATCTAAAGTCTTCCTAAATGCCACGAACGCCCCCGCACACACTGGCAGACAAGCAATCACTTTCATGTGTTAAAAGATCAGGTGGTGAACTTTAAACGTCTCCAGGCCTCGATGACAGCACTGACTGTCGTCCCCATTGGTCCCGAAGGCAAATAGTTAATGTAAATATGCTGGCGCTAAGTGGGAGTGCCTCGCCATTAGTTTAGCTGTCACTTGAGCGCTGTCGAATGTCTTCAGTGGTTGTGTCGTTGAGGTCCGCACTAGCATGTGGTCACCCTCCGCGCGCACCTCAACACTAGTCGCTGGAGAGCCGAGTATGATGCAAGTCCACGCGTTCTAATAGGCCTAAGAGAAAAACCGCTAAATAAGCGCTCGTGGACATTTTGTATCAGATCGGCGGGATTCCAAGGCGTCTGATTACCAGAACGCTCTAATAGAGGACAGATAGAGCGCATTTATCCAAAGGACTCGAAGGTTTCCAATACGCGTTTTCCTCCACAGATAAAAGGCACTTCGCATTCTTCTGAAAAAGGTGAGATTTGTTTATGTTTGCAGTGTAAATTCTTGTTTCTTTAACTGTTCAGAGGCAAACAATAATCGCGAGGAGCTGCGATAATAACCAAACACCGTTTGAATCTTTATCCACAATTTGTCATATGTAGCCTACAATCTATTTAAATGGGCTATAAATATCTATTTAAATATATAGCCTCTTTACAATGCCTATAGATAGCCTAAATAAAAATCAATTGTACTTGACGCGCATTTTAAGTTTTATTTAAATTGAAAATAGAAAAATAAGTTGTAATCTTAATTATACTTCATTTGGTTTATCAACAGACCAAAGATGTAAAGCTCATCTTTTGTAATTACAATTAAATAGGCTTAAAGCTTCTTACACCTTTGTTAAGCTCTTCGGCAAGGCTCAAGGAATCATTTCCTTCCTCTTTTTCCTTTATAATCCATGGTGTTGACACAACATTTGTTTGCTTTTTCTAAACTGTCTTTTGTTCAACACAAAGAGTAAAGTTGTATTGTAAACAAACTGTAAACAAATTAAAATGGACTAAGTAGAATTTCGTAGAAGTTAATACCACAAAGACGACCATCTCGGTATATTTATCTTTAGACAGAATTTTTTTTTTTTTTTTTTTTTAATAGATTAATGTAACCATGGTGTAAGGTTCTTTTTCTGCTTCTTCTTCTCATTGTTATTATTATTATTACTACTACTATACATTTTATCTTTTTATAAATCTGTGAAATAAGACATTAATACGTCGGGGTTTTTTTTTTTTTTTTTTTTTCAGTTTGTAAATCAGTCCTTAAAAATATTCCTTGTATCCATCTTCGCAGATTTCCAGGAATGGAATCTATCCCAAATCAGCTGCCGGCTGGAAGAGACCCCAGCTGTTCGCCGAACTCTAAACAAGACTTGCAGTCTTACTCTGGCCCAACACTCAAGCCGAACCAAGTCAGCAAAACCTCTTTATACGGAATACCGATCGTTTCACTAGTCATAGACGGTCAAGAGAGACTTTGCCTAGCTCAAATATCCAACACTCTCCTGAAGAGCTACAGCTATAACGAAATCCACAACCGGCGCGTGGCCCTGGGCATCACTTGTGTGCAGTGCACTCCGGTCCAGCTGGAGATTCTCAGGCGCGCGGGGGCTATGCCTATTTCCTCGAGACGCTGCGGGATGATTACAAAGCGAGAGGCCGAGAGGCTCTGCAAGTCGTTCCTGGGTGCCCAGAACCCGCCGAAATTACCAGAAAATTTCGCCTTTGACGCATCGCACGAATGCGCGTGGGGCAGCCGGGGCAGTTTCATCCCAGCCAGATACAACAGCTCGAGAGCGAAGTGCATTAAGTGTTCGTTCTGCAACATGTACTTCTCCCCAAACAAGTTCATCTTTCACTCTCATCGCACGCCGGAGTCCAAATACACGCAGCCCGACGCAGCAAACTTCAATTCATGGAGAAGACACTTAAAACTGACTGATAAAAACTCACCGGACGATGTGGCCCATGCCTGGGAAGACGTCAAAGCCATGTTTAACGGTGGCAACCGCAAGAGGACGCTGCCAGTCGGTGGGTCTAATAGTTCGTCCTCGCTTAGTACGCAAGCACCGAGAGGTCAGACCCAGGGGGAACCGTCTGAGATGCCCCACAAAACTCTCCGATGTGAGGATGACAGGGGGAACGTGACGATGCCGAGCAGCATACGCAGTTACCCCGTTATTCCGGTGCCCAGTAAGAGTTTTGGGATGTTACAGAAAATTCCACCACCGCTCTTTCCACATCCATACGGTTTCCCGGCGTTTGGTTTGTGTCAAAAGAAGGATGACGGTGTGGTGATGGGAGAGCCAAACAAAACAAACCTGTCAGGTGTTTTCTGGCCGAGCGCTAAAGACAGTGCCTATCCCTCCTTTCCTATGTTTTGGCCTACAACAGGCACCTTGGCCATGCCAACATACCACCATGCCCAACCTAAACCTCCATCTGACGTGTTGTGCACCAGACATGGTGAGCTAGACGTGTCAGAGCAAAGTGACCGAAGCACGAGCACCCCTAAAGACAGCCTACTTGATAATGAACGCTGTTCCAGCACTCAGTCTACCCGAAACGAGGAGGATAAATCTGGGGATGAGAGCAGGTCGATAGAAGGAATGCCAGCCACCCCAAGAAAAATAAGCTACATATCTGCATTCAGGCCGGTTGTTAAAGATGTTGAGAGCATCGCAAAACTATACGGAAACAGGGGTCCCTATTCTGGTCCTCGATCTGGCTATATGTCACCAGATTTCTTGAGTGAAAGCTCTAGTTATAGATCGGTGTCTCCGGACGTGGACAGCGTGGACGATCCGGATGTGGATGTTGAGTCACATAAAGTGCACGAGGACGAGGAGTGTTTGCAGCCGTCTGTGGATGACCGGCGGAGTCCTCACGGTTTGACCGTAGCGCAGAGTGATGGGGTTAAAGGTCAAGACCAAGATAATAGCCAAATGCACACCCTGAGTGACCTACACACGACGAATTCAAGTGAAACGCGGTCGTCTGATTTGGAGAGCCACGGCAATAAACACACGACGCGCTTTGAAGTGAGTAACTAACAGGACCATGAGTGATTTTATATAAGATTCTTTTCTCATTTTAAAAAGCAGGGTTAGGTAGCCTACTAAACGGCTTGCTTTTCATGAAATTTTTCACAATTATATTTATTATTCCTTATAATTTGAAATTATAAATATCTATATAAAGTTGCCCGTTATAGTAAAAAACGGCAATAAATGTAATGTTTTTCTTTTTCTTCCCTTCAACTATAAGTAAATCCTTTCGATTTATTTTTAATTTTATAAAGTGCGTTTTTATTTTAATCTAATTTATATAAGTCGGCTAATTATTGTTAATGTTTTAAAATGAGTAAGTAAGGTGAATGCATCCAGATTGTGGAGATCATTGTCGCGCTGCTTTTAAAACTTAGCCTACTGATTAATTCAGGAAATTTGTTATGAGTGGCTCGTCATAATCTTAGTTCTTTTAAAAATGTAATCAGATCAAAATAGCGGACGTTCCACTCGTATTCTACTAATCGCATTCTAATAGAAAATGCAAAATGGTATAACTGCGAATAATTGTCTTCTCAATTTTACAGGTCTATGCGCGTGAAAGGGACGAGCATGTGCATCAGATGAGCACATCTAATTTTGGTTCAACGACCACTTACCAACGCGAATCGAGTGGTAGGCCTATTTTCAATCATGTGGATTTTTCTTTCATCATTTTTTAAAAAACAAAGTCATTATTATCATACCGCATTTGTAACATAAATATAGTAAAAGACGTGCATGAAGAAGAACCTTCGTCTACGGTGGAAGAGACTGAACCCAAAAATCATCAGGATCAAACCAACATCAACGAGGAGCGCCTAAAGGAACCAAATGATGGTGCGTACGGTTAACTGGCCCTCCTAATATTCTGCACTAGTCTGTTGATTTTCTTCATACTGTATTTGTTGTGTGTGCAGATGAGGAATCAGTGCGCGAGGACACTGGCAGCAGGGTCTCCTTAATTGAGAAAAACATAGAGAACATGGCCAAAGGTAATCAAACAAAACAATATATGCTACATTTAGAAGAGCTGAAAAGAAAACGTTGCAATTTATTTAGAAATTATGGTTTCCGTGGGGGTTTCAGCAATAGCATAACATTTTTGTTTATTTTGGTTATAAAACCATTGATCATTTTGTCATTCAGAGTCATTTTTAAAAATTTGCATGAGCTGCTTCTTTTATTTATTTAACAGCGGAACTGCAGAAACAACTTGTGGAACAAGTTGAGCTTAGAAAAAAGTTGGAGCGTGAATTCCAGAATCTAAAAGGTAGGTTGGTATATGTTAAAATTCTTTCTAATATATTCTTTATGCTTTCCTAAATGTTTACAAAAATATCAGATCATTAATTCATAATAATTTATTATAATAATTGTGACCAACTTACCTACTTACAATAGCTTGAATTTAAGTCATCCTAAATTTAAATATTTTGATATTTTTATTTATAAGTACTGAAACTTGCCGAGAAAATAAAAATGACTGTTTGAATATAATTAGCTTTTATAAATATGGATACAAATGCGTGACAAATTGCCTCTGCCTGTAAAATGCTGCTTAATAGTTGGTTATTTCAAATTAAATAATAATAGCTAAAAACTCACAGTTCAAAATTATATTGTCATGTGTAAACAAGAGGGAGTCTGGCAAGACATGCAACAAAGAATCCAACAATCAACAAAGCTGAAAATAGATTAAGATAAGTTTTGCATAACATGGGCACATGAACCGCATAAAAAGTCTGCCAACATTCATCACAGTGAAAAGATTGTGTGGTCATTTGGTTAAATGTTACGCTCTCCACACTGTGGATAGATAGTTGGACGTTTTTTCATCTTTTTTTTTTTACTGAGAATGAATGGTACAGAAAATAATGAAATACTCCAACAGAAACAAAATACTGAAGCTCATGATAAAGTTTAGCATGACAATGATTTAAACAGGGGCAAATTAATATTGGAGATGCTGATGAAAACTGATTCTTAGAACGACAACATTCAAATGTCTTGATTCTACACAATTTTAAAACGTATTGTGAACCGTATATTTCTGTTAAGTTTTGAAGTATATTCTAACATAATGTCATATATAAATCATTTTAAGTTTCAGTGTTTTAAACTTAAAAGCAGAGTTAATAAATCAGTCAAAATAATTAATTAGGGTCTGAAAATTTTTCCAAAGCACTATATATATTTTTATTTTCTATATAGTAATAAACATAAATGTGCCTTGATATTTAATTTACTTCACATTTTCTTCTTAGACGGTTTTCAAGACCAAATGAAAAGGGAGCTCTCATACAGAGAGGAAATGGTGCAGCAACTCCAGATTGTTCGAGGTATGCGTTCAACTTCACACGACAGGTTTTGGCTATATTTAATAAAAAAACAATACACTAAACTATCTATCAGAACTGATGACATGCTTTTAGGACCTTTTGTGGACCTTTCTGGAGTTCAAACGAGTTTGTTCAGTCCTTACACATTTTTTATAAGCTACTAAGCATCAGGTTTATGCAGTTTCATTGCTGCAATAATGGACTTGCATAGACGGGGATCTGATGGTATTTACACGTACACTTGGATGCCAGAAAATCCCATGCACAAAACTGAACCAGTTTAGATGAGGGGAAAAAAATTTGTCTTCCAGACCTGAGATATCCTTTGTCTCTCCTGCGCAGACACTTTGTGCAGCGAGTTGGACCATGAGAGAGAGACACGTTATACTATTCAGCAGAAGTTAAAAGGTAAATGATTCTAGCAAAGGCAAGCAAATATTAGCATTCAAGATAACTAAAGGACTTGGAAAAAAGCTCTTGGAAGTATCCCAGGAAGGCACATTGTGACAGTATTCAGAAGTGTGACCTTGAATATTTTTGATAATCCAGGCCAGCTGTTAATTTGTAGACAGTTTATATATTTTAGAACCATTTGAGCCACACTGCAGTATATTATAGCAGTTATTGTCCTAGAACACATTTTTTCTCACACTCTGTTTCTCTCTGTACCCCAACACATATATAATCATATGCTGCTTTTGTTTTAAATTATTCATTCACTTTTTTCCCAGAAGCTCACGACGCACTACACCATTTCTCGTGTAAGATGCTGACTCCACGTCACTGTGCTGGGACCTGCACCTTCAAACCTCCTCTTCTACCGCCTTGATGGACACCTATTGAAGACATAAGTGTTCATTAGAAATACTGCTGTGTCAAATAAAACGTTACTTTTTTCCTCTGCAAAACAGTGTCAACCTTTAGACCTGGAATAAGCAAGTATGTACTGTAGTATTTTAGCTCTTACACTGTAATGAAGTCATTTTCATTTGCAAAAGAGTGTTTTCAGACTCACTGTATGTACTGTATAATTTATATAAAGTTCTAGAAAATTGCATTATAAAAAAAATTGACGTCCCACTTAAAAATATTATCATCAGCTGTAGAAATCACTGGTATTAAGTGGCTATGTGCAATGAATATTTGTTATGTATCCTGTGATACCTTTTTTGTTAGTGATAGTTTGTTAAATTAGCTGCAACAATAATTCATGTTTTTGTATATTTTATTTATTCCATGTCCATGTTGGTTGTTTATTCTCATCTGCATATTTGTATATTTTTGATGTAAAGCACTTTAAATTGGCAGCCCTAACTACTGAAATGTGGATAAAATGATCTTGTTTGAGAGTCTGTCTTCATTTTAATCAATTTCCATAACAATGAACTACATTTGCATCTGTATAAGTCCCAAAGAACAACATGACATTGATATCAAAATCTTAGTTTGAATATTCCTGCACATATTTCCATGAAAATGACTGTATCATGATGACAGTTTTGATCAGTGCAGAAATCCAAGCATTTGTTAAAATTATGAATTGCTGTTTTGTACATACTGTAGTGTAGCATATACATATTGACTGAGTGAATTTATGATCTTCTCCCCTTTGTTAGACATTCCTTTTTGGTTTATTGAGCTGAATATATTTACTAACAATTATAATTATATAATCAAAAGTTGTATGCAATAATTTTTTTTCCCATTTATTCATGTCTTTTGTTGAGTTTATATTTACCGTCTGAAAGATGATTGCGATACTTATTCATACCCTTATGCTGTACTTCATTTATTGATTTTTATATACTGTAAATAATTAAGTATTTTTTGTAAAGAAGAAATAGTTTTTAGTCATCATAATTTTGTTTTTTGTTTAATGCACATATAAGCAGCATGAGACTGGTGTCCCTACATCTAAAGGCCAACTATGGGTCATGAAGGCCAATGGCGCATCACAAGTATCCACTAACACTAATTCTTAGCATTTGTAACTGATTTTACAACTCAGTTACATTAGTTTCTATCTCCATGTATTGTTTCAGCTGGTTCACGACAACAACCTTGAAGATGAGAAGGTATTGTTTGGCTCTTTCCTCTTAGCCCATCAGCTTCCACAGAACATGTATTCATGGACAACATCACAAATAATGAGACCCCACTTGTCAACTCATGAAACGCTGGGTAAAAATAAATGTTCTGTCTTCATAATTACTGCTATTATGTAGTCAGCTGTATAGGTTTCTAGAACTTTGCTATTTTAGAATCTTAATAGGCAGCTTAAATTGATTTTAGCAATTATGCCTAAATTGGCAATTTGTATGGCTGACTTCTGCTTGTAGAATTGGTTAGGGTTAGGAAGACTCTAACTACTGTCTATTGGACAAGCTGTTTTCCCCCAAAATAAACATATTACTATCTTCATTGGTTTATCAGTTAAATTTTTTGCAATTATCCAGCACAGATAAGCAGAATAATTATGTGCAGAATAATCATCATAATGGCTTTGTTCTGACACAATGAAAAACCAAAACTATTTGATGATAATACAAATTATAAAAAGAAACTGCGTAAAAATAATAAATCCTTATGCCCTCATGAGTTTGTCTGCGCTTTACTACAGGAAAAAGGAAAGGCGGCGCTAAGGCACGGAGTTACAATAAAAGGTGTGAGCCTGCCATCTAGTGGACACAAATCATGTTAGTAATACCAGACTCGAAATAGGATTCAAAATAATTTTGTTGGTGTCGTCACGCTCAGAAAAAAAATCCGAAATATTTTCAAACAAGTCTTGCTGTATAAAACTAAAAAACAAATTCGCTTGGTTCTTTAACTTGTCTGCTTAAAATCGATCTTACAGAGTGTTTGATTCACCTCACACACACATGAAGTAACGTTAGAAATGTGTTATTTTTACTGATGGGATAAAAAGTAAATAGCAAATAGCCAAACAGCAGAAATGTTACAAACTAGATGTTTACGATTCGATAAGAAGTAAGTTATCAACTCGCATATCAGCATTTTATTTTTATTTATCAAAATCAGACGAAAGATGTAAAGGATTTTAGCATTGTTTAATGTCAATGCTTTTGGTTTTGACTTTGAAAGATGAACCATCGTTGCAACAAAGTGCACGTGATTACAAAATTAGAACATGGCATAATCTCCTAACTGTTTTTTAATTCATGTTCTATGAAACGAACTGTTCGAAAGAACCGATTTGTGGAAATGACTCGGACTTCCCATAACTGATCAGATGACAAAACCGAATGCAAATTGCATGTGATTATCTGGAAAGAAAGAAAGTACCGTTACCTTTTTTTGTTTAATCAATACAGCAACACATTTCTGAATTTTATAACATGATTAATCTAACAAGCGAGAGCGTTTCGTTACATGAGATCTTGTCGCTGATGAATGATGCCATGTTTTCCATTCAAGCAATGTGAAATCGCGTAATCCGCGCGCTATTTTTTTAACTAGAGAGGGATTCCTGAACGTTTGAACAAGCTCACGTCTTGGTCACGTGCCGAGCCTCCGATCACGCTTGCGCCAGAGAAACAAGATGGCGGAGAGTGCGGAATTGAAGGTAAAGTGTAACCCGCAATTTACTTTCAATACAGCCTTTATACAAGACCTGTTCGGCAATGTTTTCCGTCCGACTTGTTTCTGCGAGTTACTTTTGAAAGAAGCGACGTTCCGTATTTGATTTAAAGGCGCTTTATGAGCAGTTTTGAACCCGGTTAAAGGAACACTGTTATTGTTGTGATGGATCCAGCTAGCTGCCAGCTAACCCGCACAGCTGTCTGCCTGCTCGTGTGAAATTAGCCCTCTTCCATCTGAATTAAGATATTAATACTGTTAATTGTTCTTTTAACGTTTAAATTAAGTGATTAAATAGTCCATGGATCGTCAGAGGAGTCAGTCGTAAGTGTGAAGCTGCATGTGGGTGGTGCGTAGGCTGCCAACAGCCTGGAGATTCGGTACTTTGACAGACTTCTCTTAACCTGATGCATTTATAAAAGCAGACAACTACTCAGTCCCATTAACTAGATTTATGACAACCAAGACTGAATTTTGGGCTTCACAGACACGTTTGAACCTTTGAGTCGAGTGTGTGACATCCAAAAATGCTGTCTTTGTGTTTACACAGCACCAGATTTTGAGACGCAGCCATCGACCACGGCCTGTTTCTTTTAGTTTCAGTGTGATTTAGTAGGACGTTCGTTTAAAGTTGGTGTATGTTTAGCTGGTGATGCTGTGAGATCCGTTGTCCTGCATTTAGACAATATGTGAAGACATTTTAATGTGTCTTCTGTCATTGTTGTTTATCTTGATGTGATTGTTTGAGAGTCACACCAATGTTGTAGTGTTTTATTCATGATTTGGATTGCTAGTGATATTAAAATTCATTTGGTCAGCTGTTTGTTGTTGTACTACACTGTTCGTTCTTGTGGAGAGGAACATCTAGACCTCTAAACTGGCTCTGATTCTGTACTGTCAAAAGAGTTAGGGATCAGACCATTTAGCTACAGTCTTTTCCAAATAGGGCTGCAACAAACGATTATTTTGATAGTCGACAATCCTTGATTATTTCACCAATTAATCAGTAGGCTTTGTTCTATTATTCTGCTTTTACAATTAGTTAAAATACCGAATACACATATTCTAACTAATAACAAGGTAAAAAACTAGGTAATTACTTCAGCTTTGAAGTGAATGTCAAATGTCAAACAATTATATTACTATTGTACAATTGCAATTATTTTTTACAATACAAATAAATATATTTGGCACACAAAATGAGATGACAGAGACTTTCTCATTCACCTTTTAATTAACTGTATGCTGAAGTAATTGACTGACTGAATGATGCATCATTCTGCCTAACATCTCCTTTTGAAAGTCATATATGGTACAATATAAAGTGCCAAGACATTTTATATTTTCAATAAATTATTTTATTCACAACATTAGCTCTCATAAAACACATTATAGTGTTATAGTAATCAATACAGTCCTAAGCTAGATCAAGCTTTAATATTTGCAAACCAAACTATCACTTTAATGTAATTGTTTTATTTATTTTAGGCATGGGCCGATTACCGGTTTCAAGGTATACCGCGATTTGCAGTGTTGAGAGTAACACGACCCTCCTCCTGTTGGTGCGAGCGAGTGGTCAGTCGCGTGTGTGTAGGATGGCCAAACTTAAGGAGCTGCCCCTGGAACTTACACGATCGGCAACCGGCCGTTTTTTTGTCTTATTGCAACTCTTCTTTGTTCTGGACTTGCACAAACTGCGTTGCAATGCAGTCATTTTCCAAAATGTCATTTATGTTAAAATATGAAGTCTGTAAATGCCCGTTAACACAGGCCAGAGACGCTTGATGACGAGATGAGCATAAAAATCGCATTCGATTTTTTGCACAGCCCTATTCTGAGGGGAACTGACTGTCTTCAGAAAAGTTTAAGTGGTATTTTCTTTTCATCTCGTCTCTGTATAGTTCATATTAAAGCAGTGTTTCTATTCTCATTCAGAGCTTCTGCTGTTTGCATCATTCAGGCATGTAGTATAATTTCACAAAGCTAGTCGGAACATTCTGTTTTTGCTTCAAATTGGGTTATTATTAAATCAAATTATGTATATGAAATTATATAACTAAATAATATGAAATGATATAAATTGTATATGAATTATATAACTAAAATGGAATAACTGTAATTACAGATTTAGGTTAAATAATGATGTCAGTTTTTATTTTTCTTCTTTTTAGGAAACAAATCAAAGAAAAAATTAAACAAATTCTACTGTTCCGTTATTTGTTTATTTATTTTTGCATTCACTAATAAAAAGATTATATCATTTACTAGCTCTACACTGGGCAGCTGCTTTAT